TATGTAAAATATATAATAAATACATGTAATTGCCGTGTTTTCAAGGGCGATTTCAAGGGCGACTCTATAGACTCCATAGTATATGTGTGTATAATATATATATATGTATATATGTGTGTGTGTGTCCCAGCCACTGCTTTCTAGACCAAGGGGCCAAGGTGCACCATAAGCGGGTAAAGTATTGTGTCGTCCATAACAAGAGCATGCGATCGGAGGCTGCGACGAAGCCAGCAAACGATTGGACACCTGCCCACGTGGCACAGATAGAACATATTAGAACACCACGGCGAGAAAGAGGTGAAATTCGAAAGGAAAATGAAAAACCAATGGGATGGGCCCAAAACCTGAACCACAAACGGGATTTGATTGACATCGAAAAGCTATGTTTTGTTGGAACTTATAACTAAGATGAACTATATAAGTTCTTCTGATGATTCATTTTTGCCCTTTCAGGGGTCCGAGCACCTACGTCCAGTGCTGTCAGCGTTGACTTCGGCTCCGCCTGCGATTTGCAGGTCACCCCTGTCCCACCCCCGCCTAAACGCTTCAAATCATCGTCCCCTTGATGGACGCAGAATTTGTCCAAGAAATAGATACGCGGTCTCACTAAGAACGCCACGTGGTGCCAAGTGAACAATACCTGACAATCCAACTGGGTGAGGATGACGTCCCACTGACTCGAACATTGAGATGTGTCCAACACATGTCATGCCCCTGTGCAAGTGTAGGCTGTCCTCCGACTTGGCCTTGTGAGGCTAGTATCCATTGTCTCTCTCTCTGAAATTCTTGACCACATCGAGATTCTGCAAGCCCAAACATTCCACCCTGCCTCCCTGAACGGCATGAAACATACCCATATAGCCTATAAACATCTATAAACAGCGTTTGAAACCGTGCTCACGTCCTGCCACTGCCAAGAAGCAAAGAAGAAGGACAGGCCTCCACCACAAAGCGCCCATGGAAAATGGTCTATGACATTGCTATCGCCTTCGGCGACCACTGGCAAGACCTTCAAGCGAGTCAAGGCTGTCAAAATGATGGCCTCAGCTGAAAATGTCACCACCACCTGATAGATCTGATAGAAGCCGCGAAACCGTGCAAATTTCAAAACCTATTGTACCATCACAAAACTGGCTGTAATGCAGCGTATGCTGCTTCTAACTCCATCAGATTCCATCTTGTAAGAGTCTCGTGTGGCTCATAACTTCCAACACCATTTAAACTTAAAGACAATCTTTCTGGGACACTTTTGCAAGATACTGTAAATACTATTGTTCTGCGCTGCTTTGGGACACTCGTGTGCGTGACATCTTCGTACAATCTTTGAAAACACTCTGAGACGCTCCTGAAAGACATCCGTTTGAGACAACTCTGAGATACTCTTGCAGGCCACTCTTTGAAGACACTCTGAAACACTGGGCGAACAGGTTTCCCCACGCGCAAATACAATTGCATCCTCATTTGTGTTGGGAGTCAGCCCAGCAAAACCATGGCAAGTTAGCGCCACATCAGTCTCCCACAGATCTAAAGTACAGTACTGCGCCTGTTGCCCACAATGAACCTGGACATTCCCCATCCTGCGACAAAACATGAAAAAACGAAGTCATCAATAAGGACATGAAAAAGTATTGCGCCTGCCACACGACAAGCCTACCACTCGACAAGCATTTAGGCACGTGATAAGTCGTGTCTGATTTCGCTCTTTGAGACTTCCCTATATCCTATAGGGCGTGGCCAGAGGGATCTGGATACAAGCAGCAACCGATGGTTGCAAAAGGTTGAGCATCGTCAAGCGCAAAAGGCTCAACCCCCTGGCCCGCAGAGATAAAGGTGATAAACGAGAACCCTTCGCTACGCATTCGGGACAAAACACGCCAATCCGTTGAAAGTAAGGCCAAGTGATGACATTTTGATTGACGCTTTGATCCCCAACCTCCTTGACTGCTCACCCTTCTACATCAAAATTCATATCACTTCATTTTGGCGCATCTTCAAAACAGCATTACCAGTATCCAGTGTAGATCAAGCCACCACAATGGTCGAAAAGATCATTGCAACGTGCAGATTCTTGTGGATGTATAGGGCAACCACCTGTCACGAGATCCCTGGTGTCCCTGGTGTCCCTAGTGTCTCTGGCGTCCCTGGTTACCTTTACCAATTGGAGATCCCCCAATTCCTCCAGTACAAGGGCCTTGGGAAATCGTTCATCCTGCCAGCAGTGACTGATGAAGTAGTCGAACTTGTTGACTTGGAATGATTTTCTGTACCTGTCGACTAGTTCCGCTCTTGGTCGTGGCATTGTCTTTTTCTGAATTCTCACCAAATAGGAATGGGTAAACAACTATCAAAAGCTTGCTATTATGCTACTCACATCACGAACATCACCAGAATGGTCCATGTTGGGGATGTTCATCAATCAAATGCTCTGCTTTTTCTTTCGGGGAGTATTGACCTGACCCGTACCATCCCGTACCCATATTGCTACGGCATGTTCCGGCGGAACCCAGGGGGCGCAATTTTGCAGCCTCTTCGGGAGTGAGACTTTGGTTGAGACCTGGGATTTCTTGGGAAGTACAGAGCCCTGGCCCCACGCATCTGGCAGTTTGAACATCTATAATAAAAGGAAAAGAAACCTTGCTGGACCATATAGACAGAACATTATAAATCTCTCAATCTCTCTCTCTCTCTGGAGAAAATAAGCATATTTATACATAATTATATATTTATTACATAAGATAAACACATACAATGGCCGGGAAATGCCAGAATGACCCAAATCGCTTTGGTTTTTTTTCCCGAAAGGAGTTTTTGGCTCACCAGTGCTGGGATGTGCTGGGTACCAGGCTATTGCAGCGCAGTTCAGCTCCAAAACTGCTGAGAACTTGAACCTTGGGAAGTGCTTCCAGGGCTGGGAACATTACATGGCAGTCATAAAATGTCATGAAACGCGCCATGGAAGCTGGGAGAAAGCCTGCAATCCTGAGTTGGTGGACTTTGCTGCCAAGAAACTAAGTTAGTTCCACGCAACAGTTTCATGTCCTCAGATTCAACTGAGTAACGATAGCTGGCAGCACGACCTGCATGTACCAGCAATGACCAAAATCCTTTGATTGTTGATGATCTTAGTGACTAGTGGGTCGAACATGATGCCGGACAGATCCCATTGGGTTCATTGGGCATTTTCTTGATACATCCAACGTGCCCAGCATTTGTCCAAAAGAGACGTATGTACCAAAGTACCAAAATCGTGATGTTGGGAAAACTATTTTCCAACATGTTCTTTCCGATTTTGGGTGCTGCATTTTTGGACAAGTCCAAAGGAGTTCGTCTGAAAATAGCCTTAAATAGGGCAACCCCAAATCCCATGATATTATCCCATGGCTTCACACACCCAAATCATATCCTTTTTGACAAACAAAAAAACATGTGTACCTCGCAGCTTTTGGGCACAGAGTCTTGAATACCCAAACTCAGGTGCGCGGCCTCGGGTCAAGGGTGAGGTGCTGTCCTTTAAGGACACTTCCGGCCATGTGCTAAACTACCCCCCCAACAAAAAAAAACTATATTATATATAATATAACTGCATATAATTACGTATATATATATATACAGGGTATGGCTCAGAGTATGGGTCAACTACGTTATATACGTAATATATCTTCAGTACCCACCAATGGTTGATTGTTGTTTTACAACATTTTACAACATTCCATAACATTAAACTGGGAGGTCGCAGCCGTCCCATGTGCTGCAATGCAGTGATGCTTTGTGCTCCAAAAAGTGTTCAAAGGGAGTGTGAAATGATAGCATTTCAGCTCCAGCTGATTTGCCAAATAGACAAGGACTGTGGCCACTTACCTGGCAAAAATATGCAAACATGAGGCTCCGGACTATGCATTTCCCCGCTTCGGCACAAACACGCAAAACATACGTATAATATTGTCATCATGATTATGATGTCATTGGTATTGTCACTCTGATTATTACTGTTTAGTAGGTTTATTCTCATCAAATCATCTGTCTATATAATGTGTTCGTGATATTTCTTGAGCGAATCCTTCTCTGAATAAGTAGATGCACACTCTACACTCCCATGGCCCAATAATACGGTTCGAGAATTATTTTGGGATTTTTTTCTGAGTTTTAAGATTTTTTTTTGGCATTTGCGTGGCGGTGCGTGTTGTTTGCTTGTTCCATGGCGCCAACCGGTGTATTCCTTGGTTTCCATTCATCCTCCAGAGTTTTAAACGTTTTTTGGGAGTTTTCTTTGCTTTTCACCGGTTTTCTTTGGTTTTGAACGATTTTGTTTTGTTCTTGCCGTTTTTGGACGTGTTTCCCGCGACTTGCATACATGTGATCACTAGTGGCATGGACGGTTCTGTGTTGTTTGCCGTTGTATTAATCGTGCATCCATTGTGTTGAACAAACGACATGATAGATAGATAGATGGATAGATGGATAGATGGATAGATGGATAGATGGATAGATGGATAGATGGATAGATAGATAGATAGATAGACAGATAGACAGATAGACAGATAGACAGATAGACAGATAGACAGATAGACAGACAGACAGATAGATAGATAGATAGATAGACAGATAGACAGATCGATAGATCGATAGATCGATAGATCGATAGATCGATAGATCGATAGATCGATAGATAGATAGATAGATAGATAGACAGATAGACAGATAGACAGATAGACAGATAGACAGATAGACAGAAAGACAGATAGACAGATAGACAGATAGACAGATAGACAGATAGACAGATAGACAGATAGGCAGATAGGCAGATAGACAGCTAGACAGATAGACAGATAGACAGATAGACAGATAGACAGATAGACAGATAGACAGATAGACAGACAGATAGATAGATAGATAGATCGATAGATCGATAGATAGATAGATAGACAGACAGATAGATAGATAGATAAATAGATAGATAAATAGATGGACAGGTAGATAGACGGAGAGATAGATGGATGGAT